AACCGGTCCTGAGCCTCACCTAGGTGGACTCAGCCTCCAATGAGTACCTGGAGCGGTGTGTAAATATAGCCACTGGGGAGACAAAGGCGGCCGGGCGTTTTGCTGTCCGACTTTGCACTTGCTCCACACGGTCTGTGAAGGCTATAAGGGGGATCTTTGTCTTTGTGTGTGATGTGTGCGTTGTGTGCGAGTAAGTTTGTGTGATCGAGTAAGTTTGTGTGAGTGCGAGTGAATGAGTGTGTGTGAATTAATTCGTTTATATGGCCCTGTCACTCACTGTAAGAGTGTGAGTAAGTTTCTGTGAGTGAATGCGAATGCGCGTGTGTGTGTGGCGGTGTGATTGGGTGAGTCTGAGTGAATGGGGTCGTCTGTGGATTTAATGATTTTGAATGGCTATGTCACATTTAAGCGTGGGTGGCTGTGAGTGGGTTGGTGCGTGTGTCCGATTCCTTTTTTGAGTGTGTGTGTTCTGTGTGTGAATCGGCCCTGGGCCTCCCCTAGGTCGACTCGGCCTCAAATGAGTACCTGGTGCTGTGTGTGAACATCGCCACCGGGGAGACAAAGGCGGCCGGGGGTGTCGCTGGCCACCCACCCCCTTGTGTGCCGTGCCAGCCTTAATAGGTGCTCGCTAACATCACTTGCCCCTACAGTCTGTTGAGGCTATACGGTGAATCTTTGTCTTTGTTCTGTCAGTGGGCTGTTTGTGGGGAGCGGTGGCAAAGTGGTTAGCGCACTGCTACGAGAATCCAGCTAACCCGAGTTAGCTGGAGAATCCAGCTAACCCGAGTTACCTGGATTCTCTAACATCAGTGGTAGGTGATATTAGAACACCACGACCACCCGCCCCTACTGGAGATCTGTGAAAAAGAGCTTCATAGCTCATCGGATTCCTCCAAGATAAAGATTCTGATTATGTACGCTGTACATACATCATACAGTATACATACACGTGCACATAATATAGTGTTCATACGTATAAGCACGCATGAATAATGTACATCTGCAATGCCGGTAGGGTTGTTTTGCTGCATGCTTGCGATATATAAGCGCAGTTTTATAAATAGTTGCAGCTGATTCGGTATTTCCTTGTTTAGTGCAAGGCTTGGCGCAGTGGTTTATAGTGCGCTGCGCTGTGAACTCGGTGACCTGAGTGAAATTCCCAGCGAACATCACTCTCACTTGACCAACGTGGTCAAGGCAAAATCCCCATGGCCGACGCGGCGTGATGAGGTCCTTACTTTAACAGCGGATTGACAAAATGACTCTAAATTAACTCATTTATTCAACCCATACCATTAACATGCACATATATGCAACCTATGCTCCAAATAGCATGGGCATTAAATATTGCATCACGCGAACTGCGTACGGCTGACTGCTGATGAACCCGCGAAAAGGTGAAACCGATACAGAGTTTATTTAAACGAATGCCGCTGGCAGGGCCGTCCATAGGGGAGGGGGGGGGGGGGGTGCTGGGGCCCGGGGCAAATGAAACGGTGGTGGGGCCCCCAAACGCCTTCAAACTAAACCGGCAGTATTACATCTGACACCGTGATGTCGAAGGGCGGGACCCCCAAATCTCGGGGCCCGGGGCGGTCGCCCCGATTCGTCGCGCCCAAGGAACGGCTCTGGCCGCTGATAAACACACAACGTCTTTGGAAGGCCGGTAGGTCGATCGGTCGAATTACTCAAACGTATTGTATTCACATTTTTGGAATTATAGGGGCTTAAACAAATGCTGTTGGTTAATTCTAAAAGTCTAACTCGGCACAGCACACAAAATAATAATTGGCGTCTTATATCTAATAGAGAGGGTAACTTGCCCTGTAAACATCTGGGAGTTTAAAAGCATTGATTTACGCAAACCTGACCGCTGATGAGACACTGAATGTCAAAACCGGTCCAGTATGTGTATTAAGCAAACGCTGCTGAAATTATGCACTCCCAGAAAGAAAAACGTTGGCGTAACTGATGCGATGGTGTATTAAAAATTGTAAATACTGTTTTTTACGTGGAGGGACAGATATGGGAAGGATAATTGCCTGCGTTATTACTTAAAAGGTTCATAGGTGGATGTACAAACCCATGGGTCGGCAACCAAAATAACACGAACAGCCTTTTTTTATTCGGTAAAAACAACTCAATATTTAAAGAGCCGAAATGCCCGTGAAGAACGTCACGAAGCAGTCTTTAAAGAGCCGCGGGGGGTGCCGACCCCTGGACTAAACATAATTATTTCCAAGTGACGTTTAGGTTTCGTTCACGGATTAGCGATCGATGTGGATTCTTAACCGCACGAAAAATGCGTGGGAAAGCGTGCGTGACTTCACAATCGATGTTTTCCCTCTTGGTATTCCTTGCACCTGATTGAGGTTTACGTGTGACCCTACCGGGCCACTAGAGGTCGCTATATTCACCACAGCGTCAACAAGAATCGATCAAATGACTCGCCGGTTGGGTTGGGGGCGCAAATAATGACACCACGAAGCTGACACGCGCTACCATGCATGTCAGCGGAAGCACTGGGGATACAAAGGCGGTCGGGCGTGGGACGCTGGCCACGTATGTCATTCTGGAATTAATATAGGGCTCGCTAAGAGCATTCCGCGGAACCCTGCGATTCGACATGTGGGACTTATGTACGAAGTGTCTAGATGTTACTGTGTTACAACATGCAGAGGCCTCTTGATAATAATTGGAAAATTTGTACTTGCAGGAGATTTCAAGAATATTATTTTTGCCCCTTTCTCGTTCCCTGCGTCCTAAATGTATTTATTTGGAGATCAACATAAGGATCTGTAAATAGTGCCACTGTAGATCAGGGGAGCAGCGGTTGCGCAGTGGTTAGCACATTGCGCGATGAAACCGGCTGTCAAGAGTTCAATTCCAGGCTACGGCCAACATCAAAGTGGCGAGTGTGATCCGAATCAGTTCAGTCTCTCTCGGCGCCCCTCACCTCACCGACTCACACTGACTAGCGTGGTGAAGTATGGTCAAACAACCCTCTCGACTTGACGCATCGTGGTGAGGGCCTTCGTCGAGCGGTGGATCAAAGAGGTCACTTTACTCTCAAACCTCGGAGATGCCTGCATTGATTGGGATGTTTGGCCAATGATATTGCGTGTGTGGGATGTTTGGCCAATGATATTGCGTGTGTGGCTTCGTGTGAGAGGTAACTGTAGAAGCGGGATAAACCCAATCACGCATTGGAGGGGGCGACACTCAGCACTGACATCTTCTGACCATCTCGCAGTCACACGCCTGCTACATCTGGCAAGCACTGGTGGTCACCTATCCAAGTACTAACCAGGCTCAGGCCTGCTTAGTTTCTCAGATCGGGTGTGTTTAGGGGTGATTTGGGCATATGTTGAGGATGAATAAGGGCTATTTGTGAACGTGAACAACAGAAGAAAACCCTTGGTCAACACAATACTGTGGAGGCGTGATACGGGTCAAGGAATTCCCTGCCCTTTGTGTGTGTCCTCTACCAGCTGAACTAATGTGAAGTTTACCCAAACACCGCAACATTATCGTCAGAGAATTCAGTGAATATAGGGAGAGGGAGATACCCATGTGATCTCTATGTGCACGACCAGCATACACACAACTCAAGCTTAGTTATGGGCTTCATTCTTTATTTGCCCGGGTTAAATGTGGTCGTGTTTGAAAAGGGGTCGGCATGCTCCCATCCCCCCCTATAGTCACCCTTGGCTACACGGTGATCCCAGGCTATAAAACAACGCGGTTTCTGTGTACCCTCGTGTGGAACAGACAGTGGAAAACATTTCTCTCAACAACCGCGAGGTTCTGTTTTCTAAGCAGGCGTCATTTTTAAATCTCGACAATATTGGAGTGAAATTCTTCCAAATCACATTTTTGGAACTTTCTTTTTGGAACGTATTTTAATACATTCAATTATTAAGCTGAATCTTGTTTTCTGCACGAACCTGTCTAACTTTGCTTACTTTGGCAATGTTTATAATGCTAACGAGCAACTCCCTCCCCCCCCCCCCCCCCCAGAGAGCTCTTAGCCGTGTGCGCTTCAGTCAAAACGAGAAACGTACGTTTAGTGTATTTGGCTGATATACATTTGAACATGAGCCACTTCGTTGAGCCACCATTTGTGATCAAGTCGCCTCTGAAAAAGAGCCAAATAGCTCAGTGGGTCTTACCTGGTAAAATAAAATGAAAAAAACTGCATTGTGTTGTTGCTTTCACTTGTTGACCAAGGTCTCCCTTACTAAGGCGACTTCTCGTCTCAGTGGATTCTCACCGAGTGCAATATTGTCGCGCCCTGTTGAGTTTTCCATTTAAAAAAATAAAATCCACACCAAAAAGTTTAAGGACAACGTAAAATACAATGTTCATGAAAATATTGAATCTTCGTAACGAGACCCGAAAATTTGCTTTGTTCGGTCCTCTGATGCCCCCTTGCGTCTTATGCTGGACATAACAACCATTACCCGGCAGTCGGTGTCATACGAGGTCACGATGCGTCTACGTACCGACCCTCCCACGTTCCGGGCTATTTGACGCAAATCATCAGCAGCAGCAGCATCATCATCATGTGCCAATAACTGTGTAAGTTTACATAGCGCAAGTTGACATAGCGTGGTAAAGTCCTGTATGGTCAAATAACTCCCATGAACGACAGGGCAAGGGGACAAGGTCATCTAGCAGTGGATGGATGAAAGGCGTCGACAAAAGTAGACCGTTGCGAAAATCACACTAAATGAAGAATGTGCTGTTTTGCTTATGAAAAGCACTGTCTAGCCAAATAAAACTAATTGTAAAAAATGCATAAAAACATACAAGATGCATCCCACTTAACATCTGTACATACGTACGTCTTCATTTTTTTTTCCTCAAAAGTGGTTGAGACACACTGAGTGAGACATGTATTTCTACTTGTCAGCAGAGTTGTTTCTCTGACTTGGAAAACTCAGTGGCAGCATCTTGAAAAACGTAAAACAATTAACGAAGTATATTGGGCAACGTAAGGAATCGCAGCAGAGAACACCGCTTTGAATGTTTATTTGGACATGTCAATGTATGCAGTAAATATACCAAATGTGCACAGACACCACGTGTGCACTAACACCGCACGCACTCCAGTTGCACAAGCTTACAGGGGCAATCACGTCACTGCACAAGCGCAGCTTGCGGAGTTACCATACTTATGCAAATAACAAAACAAAATCACAAGTGTGAATGCAATGAAATATACGCCATCGTCTCAACCGTATTATTTTTTAACTCCACACTTTTACATTTCAAACAGAAAAAAGTCAATTACACCGGACGCTACAATGCACCACTTAAAATATATCAACTCAACGCAAGTACCTACACAGCTCATGTACACTAAACGAGTGTTAATACTCAAATATCGAACACGCAAACGTAAGTAATGCATACTACACATTAATCAAAACAATAGATTCCAAAATACCGCTGCAAATTCTATTTATTGTAGATTTAGTTGAGTGACGGCAGTATTCTACTGTACTGAGAAACATGGAATCTATCATACAATGCTGAGATTTTTTTTCTTTACCCTTGGGAAAATCTGGATTTTATTTTCACCTGTGTCTAAAAACGCCAAAAAAAAAACAAGTACTCCCATGAGCACTCTTCTTCACTGTCCTGTCTGCAATACGGACCACAATGCACCGCACTGGTCCACTATTGCACTCGCATAATCATAGTACAGACCACAGATCTAACCAGAATAAAGTTATATCGCGTCCGGCTAAATCCGGTGCACAAGAGACATACTGCATACAATGAATGGTAATGGCCTTTCCAGTTACATTACCATGTTATCATCACTGTTCTTGCACAGCAATGGATACCGTTATCAGCTGTGCACGGCAAGTGTAATGTGAAAGCACACCATGTAGCACCCAATGAGCAGTGAGCAAAGTGCAGGTTTGTTTTTTTGACTCGGGGCACTGGTGTTTGTTGTGTCCTCATGCTAAGTTGAAGTTCAAGCCACCGCATTTCAAAGTCTCCATAGGCTCCACAGACCATGTCAAATGCATAGACCTGCTCAAGCATGCACCAGTGTGCACAGAAATTTTCTAAACGTCGCCGCTCGGCTTCTTTTCCACCCAGTGTCGCAGCTGCATGCAGAGCACTGACTTAGGCCAACCTGCACATGCGCGGGCATGCAGACAAACGAGCGGGTGGGATGGCAGGAGTGCGAAGACGAAAGCCATATACGTGGCGTTCAGGCGGCAGGCTCGGACACCCATTGCTCTAACCGCAGGCCGTAACAGCCAAAATCTTCCCCGAGTGTCACGCTGCACCGAGTCCAGTTTAACTTCAGACAGTTTGATCAACAAACGCAAGACGGGGTGCAACATCTCGCTGAACAGCGCTGTCCTGGAGTCTTAGTGGTGGTTCACATGCACGGCGCGTTTGAAAGGGGGGGTTTCGAGTGGCGGGTGCGGCATGTGGGGTTGGTGGTCCGTGCACAGAAAACTGCCTCGCTGATGGGTTTTTTGTTGTTGTTATCCCCGGTATCGCTGGCGTCACTGCGCCGATCCAGGCGTGGGCGGACGAATCTTCTTCTTCTTGGAGCTGGAATTGGAGCCGGAGCTCGAGCCGGCGCCACTGGAGCCGGAGAGAGAACCCGCTGGGGGAGGCTTTTTCTTCTTTTTTGACTCGGATGCGTTCGTGCCTTCAGCGCAGAGGACAGAGCACACAGCAAAAGTTCCTACACTTTCAAGGAAAAGCACACAACTCCACTGGTGGCTTTAAAAAATCACCTGAAGATGTTTTGTTATGGAAGCATTAGGATGAAGGATGAAACATAAAAGCACATTAACTAGCAATAATTGGCACATGCAACGATTAAATGAGACACAATTACTTTCAGAAATTATGTGAAAAGAGTCTAGTGACACAACACAGGGTAAGTTTACTTTCCGGTGCAAAAGCAAAAAATGTTCTGTCTACACATTAAGTCTCTGATGAATTAAAAGTGCAAAACAAGCGTGGCTGTGATAATTAAACAGGGATAGAGGTGGTGGGAGGAGAAGTGAGGACTGCAGAAAGACTGCACTGACTCGCTTTGGAGGAGACCGAGTCGGAGGGTGAGGTATCATACGACGTGCTGTCCCCCACGTCAAACCCATCCACATCCACATCCTCTGGCTCCATCAGCGCACTCCTGCGAGGCAAAGAACATGTTAAAACCTGAGCAGGCAAGGAAAACAGTGAATACCATATACATGATTAGACCAATGGCGGAGCCAGGATTTTCAGGTAGGGGGGGGCTTATGACCAAATCACCCGCAATACACCCGATCCTATCAAGATCTCAAAAGCTAAGCAATGTTGAGCTCGAATAACGCTCAAATGGGTGACCACAATGCACAAAACAGGTGTCCATAGGCTGCTGCATTTTGACTGCAAGTATTGTGGTTAATGCAGACATGAATCCTTGTAAAAAAGGTTTCAGTTTTGTTGCCAGAAAAAGGGGAAAAACCTATTATTACTATACGAGTTGTTAGTAAGGATTTGTCTCTTGCTTTTTATTCGACGCGTGTGCGGCGATGGCATAGCCATCGATCGTCGAATTCGAACCGTATGTGATCGGCATCGTGCTCGCTGAAGGTGAATGCCTTCAGGGAAGTCGTGTACTGTATACGCAACTGTGCATAATTCTGCGAGTCACTTATAACTGCTTTGCCGTTACTTATTGCCAATTATGGACTAAGACTATTGTCCTATCATCTCAGAGTCCCTGGCACGTAATAATATGCTACGCAGTGGGGGTTGCAAAATTCCGATTTATTACTAATAAACCCCAATGATCCGATCGAAATTAGGGATTTCGATCGGATCATTTGGGGGGCACGTGCCACCCCACCCCCCCCACTGGCTCCGCCAGTGTGTACATGTACGCATATAATACATAGAAAGGTTATCACTAATAAATGATCTGAACTATTTTAATTCAATGTATTCAGCACAGGCAAATGAGCATTGAGAAATTCTCACCGTATGCAACTTCCATGAGCCCCAAAAAAACGGCATCTTGCATGAGGCTCCACAATATCCGGTGTGAAATAAATATACAAAATAAGACTTACCAATGTGAAGAAACACCTCTCCCATTGTAACCAGCAATTTTCAGTGTTAACAAGGCATAAGGGCCAAGCACAAAAAGCACAGACGGACACAAGGCGGAATGCAGCCACGCAGGACAAGAAGCGGAGATGTCAGTACGAGACCGTCGTCATCCAGCAGAGGAGAGAATGTCCGGTAAAGATGAGAATTCCTTGGGGTGAAGACAGTCAATGATGTGAGGACTCACCCCGACGGCCCGAGAAGGAAGAGCCGGACGGAGCGGCGCTGATCGTCTGTGTGCTGCGGACAGCGGTGGGACCTACGGGGAAGCGTTTCATTGTTGAACACCGAGTATGGCCTTCACCTCCTCACAGGATAGGCCGTTTCAAAGGAAAGCTCTGCAACCTCATACTTGTGTCACGGAACCTTCACTTAGCCGTTCAGACCAAGAAAATATAATGCGAAATTAATTTGAAAATATTATTTTCATTTCACGTGACCTTATGTCTTCTGCTCAAATGGTAAGTGATCCCTCAATTAGGTCGCTGCTTCAGAATATTAGCATAAAAAACAAGGTTATCTGCTCCAAATTGCAGCTAGCATTCACTAAAGGGCATCATGTTAGGGGGTAAGTGGACTGATGAATAAAATGCATTTTGTGAACAAAACTTAAGATGGGTGTAATTAAGGTCTTGAGTAGTCATCGTAAAAGTAAAGCAATGTTCATCTTCGTATATTCACAAACAATTGCAATCAGTGGTGACACAGGCATCCATTTAATTAGCGCAACTAGTAACATAGATTCACGTTTCCACTGCAAGCACGTGATTAAAAGAAAATTTTAAAGGGTTAATAGCAATGTGCCGCTCAGCAAAGCAGTTACGAAACAGGAAGTACTTTGTGCTGCCGTTTAACCCTTCGCCTCACCTGGTGCACATCTTCTTCGTGTGTTCAGACACCACACCGCATTGCTGCAAATCGAGAGGCACAAATAAATCCCCCAGAACGGAAAGGGATGGCCGCGTCGGAACAATGGTCTGCATGCGTGCTGCGTGCGAGGACGTAACGTACGGTACTCAGGAAGGATTTGAGCTCCTGGGGTCCCAGGCTCTCGTAATTTATGGAACTGGTGCTACCAGCATTGCTGGAACTGGGAATCTGGCATGTCTGCAAGGTAAGGTTTCGGGCAGACACACTACGTTTAACATTCCTTAGCCTTTATGATGATACCTGAATTTGGGTACATGCATTATTTACATAACAGATATAGATCCATCAATGCAAATGTTCCAGGTTCCCAATATTAAGCAATTACACAGATAATTATGGTTGTTACAAATGATAACCGGAAAACCGGTAACCATTTTCAGAATCGATAACCAGTTCCGAAAGGGAGGAACTGGTAAGTTTCCGATAAAATTCTCGTAACGAAGCATGCATCGGGACACACAAACGTATGAACGGCACAACGGCCTAAGTCACCGTGAGAGACATTTGGTCCTCGTTTCTCAGTTAGAAGGTAAAGGTGTAGGCCTCCACCTGCCTCCACGAGAGGGAGCTCTACAAGTAGAGGGCATTCGATCGACTTTTCACACGCTGACCACACGTCTTCGAAGCACTGGGGGCACACCCACAATTTACCCCTAGACACGATCTGCCGATCGAATGACTGCTGTGTACCCATTTACACAGATGATTGGACACAGGCAGAGAGATGGGGCTAGAAACTTGCCCCATCCATTGATTCGAATTTTGCACCGGGAGATGAACTCGAACCAGCAACCTCCGGATTGCACGTTCACTCCGCTAACCAGAGTCGAACCAAAAACCGTAACCGGTAACCGGAGTTAATCCATTATTTTCATGAACCAAGAGGAAACTGAATTTCTACTAAATGTATTGCTCCAAAATGGGAAAAAAGAGGATTTGGTTACTGGTTTTAACCGGTTCAAACCATCAAAACGTATAGCACTTGTAGCTGCGGTGTTAAAAATGAAAATGGCTGCGATTCCTTGGCCAATTTCACTTTTTATGTATGACACTATAGAACATTTGTCGTGGTCCCTCGGCGAGACGACTTGTGGTCAGAGCATGACACTCGGCATAGGCGAGACGGCGGTACTCGGAATCTTGGATAGCGATGTACGCATGCGCACACATAGGCAAATACAGGCCTAGAGCTGCCAATTTTGCCGATTAAAATAATATTAATTGAAGGGGGTTATAACTCTAGCATTAGCTACAACATAACCATTAAACATTTAAAGGAAATGTGATAAATGCTATACAATGCTTATTACTTGTTTTCATTGCTCATGGTGTATCCATTATTGTATTGTTCCGTACTTTTGCATTTGCATGAATGCATACACCATGAGCAATCAAACGAAGAAATACACATTGCATGCTAATTGCGTCGTCTGATTGCTTTGTTTGGGTCCTTGTTTTGATACTTTGCTAATATTGCAAAAAAAACAATAAGCCACACAACGAACACACGTACACAAAAACACAACAAAGCAATCAACGTTCCGTACACCATAAGCAATAAAATAAAAGCATGTATATTCTTAAAAATAACATTGTAGGTGACACGGGTCTCTGTTTCGCTATTTCTGAGCTAATAGGCAGATTTGAACTGTTTAAACTGATTTGTAGTATAAGGGAACTCAACTTTCCGAGACCATTTTTGTGAACCTGAACATCCATTGATTCGACTCCCTGATGCTAACCATTAGTCATCTTCAGTTTTCCATGAAAAAGTCAAAGATGTTTACTACTACTACACATCCGTATGTACGCCAAATTGATAAATTAGTTACTCTTTAGGTTACCAATTATGCTAAACTATTTTAATAACCCTATAAATATTGTGCATCTTACCATTTAAAATGTGCTCTTCTATTGGGAAACAATGTTACAAGGTGCAAGTAATTAAGTGTACCTTTACAGATTCTGAAGTTGCGCCACCAAGGTCCCCTGAAAGACATTTTAAATGCATGTTTATTATAAATGTAATGGTATACAAGCACGCTTAAGATAGTATACAACCTTAAAAGTATGTCAGGTTACCGGTACACGGTTGTAAGATTTGTATTCACGAGTTCTCATCACTTGCTGCATTCCAAAATTATCGAGCTTGTGAACATATGGAATTTTGTTCTGATTGGCCAGGATATTTGATGGGTGAGAGCCCAGGAACATTTAAAAAAAGGAAACAGTGCATTTGAAGGCTGTTGGTGAACGGCATAAGGGTTTCTTGAAGAGGTTAGGAGGCAGTTGGCAATCTTCTGGACGGTATGACAAATTATATATGAAGGGGGTGTGACGGGAGCACGGGAGCGCCTTTGGAGAGAATCTTCCGACGAGTGTTGGTGTTATGCCCAAAAAAAAGTAACCCTTACAGCAGTACACCAATGATGGCAACCTGTGAACTGCTAGTTATTTTCAGACTACTGCCAGTTCTGAAAGTGAGGAATCGGTAAGTTGAGTGGAATTTTAGTAATGATTCTTATGATTGGCACAGGCAGACGTACAAACGGCACAGCAGCCAAAGTGCATTTTTATTCATTTCAAGGTAAAATCCTGCAGTTGCTTGCTTACGTTTCCGCTGGCTTAAGAGTCCCCATTAGAGGGAGCTCTAGGGAGCGTTTGGTCTCCTCTTTCAGGCTGACCACACTTATTAGAATAGGTGGGTGTGCCCACACTTTAACCCACCATACATCAACTGGCAATCTAATGCGACGTATCCCTATGTATACTGCTGGGTGGACAGCCGCGAGGGGGATTTAATAAACTCTCCCCATTGTTTCAACTGCTGTGCTGGGAGATTGAATAGATCCATTGACGCGGGATTCTAAGTCCAGTGTTGCTAACCATTACACCGTGGCCGCTCCCTTCATATTTGAGTTGAAAAAGTAAACAAATTCTGTTTATTGCCAGATATTTCGCTATATGCGCCAAACTTATAATTTTTTTCCCCCTATTTGGTTACTGTGTATGAAAAAAAGAGAAGATTGTAACGATGCTGGTATGTATGCAGCTGACAGATCCCACATTTCCACACTTCGTACCATTCTTGTGCCTGACGGGCTTGGCTCTTCTGGGCGAGTTGGGATTCTGTAGCGACAGCAGAGGCTTTCACATTAAAGTTGATCACACTGCATCGTAGCAGTTAATAATCGGTATGTCTGTGATGTCAGTCCATAAAAACTTACCTTCTCCACCTTTCTCTTCTTGGCTGCAAATGACACAATTTAAAAGTCATGACTTAGGCATTGCATCTGAAGCAATATCAGCAGTACAACAAACAAACGTGGCACACCGAGATTGCAAACATCCTTCGAACCATTCCAAATATATCATTTCATTGTTATTGTGTATTATGTTTCACTAACATATGTAAGCATTTTGGCAATCTGGAAATAACGGGATACAATGAATAACGTGTCCTACTTTTAAACGATTCAATCAAGATAACATGCACGTGACCGAAAGTCCAGATATAAAATATACATTTAGTATTGCCATCTGGGGAAATGCAGCAAAAAATACGGCGATTTTTTTGTTTTCATTACATAGCAAAGCAAATGAATGTGTTAAATTCGCAACAAATACAAACTGTGACAGCGTTATCAGCTTCTGCACCTGCAGCGGGCGGACCTGTCCTTGACGCACCTTTCTTCTCGGAGCTGTAGGACCAGTCGTTGTCATTCACATCGTCGTTATCCTCCGGGTCGCTTTCTGATTTAGTCATGTTGTTGCTGTTGCTGTTAGCAAGCCTGCAGCATAGCCACAAGGTGTCCACTTTAAGCACTGCACGCTCACCATTAACGATCTCTTCGGCTTATAAAGTGTAGACTGCTTGCGGTTGAGGACACCAGATGCTCAGCACATTCACCACAATTTAGTAATCATAAACCACACCTGCGTACATATTCCATTGGACCCTCCTTTGCCAGTAGCAAAATATGATAATGGGTTTTTTTACCCTTTTATCTGGCAACAAACTGACACCTTTTTTACAAGGAGTCATGTTTGCATTGACCACAATACCTGCGGTTGGAATGCAAACAAAAAACATAACTCTGATAATGTGTGCACCGTCCTTGAAATTGATTGGTCCACACCCGAGACAGCTTTCCTTAGAGCCTAGTCTCACATAGTGTTGGACCAGATGACGCCAAAAGGCGCACAACTCAAAGACAATGCACCATCAGAGTATGCGTACATATTATCGCAGAGGTCTATGGACCCCAATACGAATATGGTAACCATCAATAGCGGGAATGTAAATATTGAAGACTGTAAAGTTTGTACGAGTAGGGTCTATAGCAAAATTCACGATGTTGATAGATTGGTTCAATAGCCTTGACTGCACCCTCACTCATGCAATACAATATGGCAATAGAGTTGTCATAGACTTCACCTCTGGCGCTTTGTCCATTTAAAATACGAAAGTTCATTCAAAAGAATTAAGAAAGAAAAAATAATTATACAAAATCATGCATTTTTCAGGGGTGCATTTAGTTTTCTTCATGTAGTCCATTGCCACAAACACACCCGAAATTCAGTGCTCTGAAGGCAAGAGTTGTTGGATCATGTATATTTGTGCAACTCTCCAAACTGCTGGCACGAAAGGTGACCAGGAGCTTGCAGTATGGCAAATAAATCAGTGAAACCAATCGGTTGTGACCCTTTGAATGTTGAACCCTCATGCGCTTGGGTATTCTCCAGGTGCTCCGGTTCCCTCACACATGTATAACACTCCTTAGAAAAGGAAAATTGGACAAACACCTTCATGCAGAACTCTGATGAAAACAAATCTTCGGACTAAGGAAGCCTTTCCTGGAATGAATAAATCACATTATCACGAAGAGCACCACTTTTGTAAAGCAATCCCCGTGCCGAATTGAATGAGCGGCAGCTGCCGGCAGGAGAGAGGGCAGCTTCACTTCCCCCTCTCTGCGTTGCGTGGACACCAAGCACGGTGGTGGGGAGGGAGGGGGGGTGGCAATCTGGCTCGAACCTGCGGTTCGCCAGGCGGCTGCTGTTGCGCCCCATGCCCAGGCACTTCTCCAGGTGCGGCGCGAATCGCGCGGCCGCAATCGTTCGCCCACAGTTGGGGCACTCGCAGTCGCGGTTCTTGCACTGGTTGAACACCTGCCCAAAGACGTCCACGCCCGCCTTGTCCACGATTTCTGAACCGGAATGAGGAGGTGGTGGTGGTGTCGTCGGCGGCGGCCGCAGTGATGGTGCCAGGTGATTGGGTGGGGTCGGGTAGGGAGTGAGGCGTGTGAGAGCACAAGTTGCACTTCTGGTTGCACTTCTGCCATAACGCTCTGCAACGTACACTATAAATCACGAGTCTAAAAATAACATTGCTATAATTTGGCGATATTATGCAAATTTCTCCATGTTGCAGCAGGTACATCCAACGGGCAGTTTGCAAAATACAAATATTTAATATGCAAATTAAACTGGATTAACAATGCAATTTGCATCAAGGAACCCTTCAAGGCACCCTCAAGGTAACAGGACATTAACTGGATGCCACATTTTTGTTACCATGCATGTGAATGGCTCTTCCACCACTCACCAAACTCCTGCATGCCCTCGGGGTCCATCTCGTCGATGAAGAAGAAGCCACACTTAACGGAGCGATGAGCCTCCAGACAAAGTCCCAGGCACACATCCTCCACCAGGTCACCGTACACTTCCTGCACTATCGCCTACCACCACACGCCACAACAAGCAGGGTTCAGTACAACGCACGAAAACCACAAGCGTATTTGAGCAGTGACACACCCAGTGTGGTACTCTAGAGGATAATTTACGGGTCCATAAATCAGAGCTCAAGAGGCATAATGCGGCATAGTGAAGGAGACAGGTGTCTAGTAAAGTGGAAGGAGATTTAGGACCTAGAATGGGGCCTAGGGAGAAAACGGCGGTTTAACAATTGTCTCTTTTGGCTTGGTTGATCGTACACAGTGGATAAGCACACGAGCTAAGCCCGAATGGGCAAATGCCTGTGAATGTGCATGAATTTAGAGTATTTATACTAAAGGTGTGTGCTTTACAAACTGAATCTAATGTGTCTACAGGATACATATTATACCATAAAGAATGATTTGCGATATTGCTCAGATTGTAAAAGGAAGCGCTGAACATTATGGGGGTGGGAGGGATATACAAATGCCTAAATATGAAGAAACATAAATTCACCCTTAAAAATTGTGCTGGAGTATACTGTCAACATGACATAGCAAAAAAAATAACTGCGGTCCGTAAAAAAAAGCTAAACACGACACAAATATTACACCACTGAGTAAAGATGCAGGGCGTAACACAACAGTCCGCCAATAAGCACTGTCCGATCATGGGACCTTTCTGAGCGAAAAGTGCTGAAAGATTTGTCACTCAACATCAAGACTGTCCGTGCACTGTATGAACACATTACCTGTTCCACAACCAGTTACGGCAGGGGTTCGTAAAGGCCGTTAACACGAATCAATAAAGAGACGCGGCTATTGTTTAAGACGAGCCGCTGTGGCGACTTGGGGTTGGTAACAACCTCAGTCAACATGCGACGAACATCAGGGTTCGCAGGGTACACCGCAGCCCAACGGGAATCGCTTCCTGATGATGTCGTGCATAATTGAATTACCGAAGCTGTAGCGATGAGCACAGATTTTAAAGCACCGAAATGCACAGCCAAGCTTTGTATCCGTAACGCTTACGGCTTGAGACGGCCATAATCGCATTTACATTTTAAAGTGCGCCTGCCAGGCACACCGTGCGGCCAATTGTGATAAAAGTCACATACATGACAATGATTTGGTTTTCCTTTTAAACCCGCAATATAAAATGACCGTGAAGGGGGGGGCAAAGGTGCAGTGGTTCGTGCGGCTGACAATCAGTAGTACACACGGTGCTCCCCCTTTACAAAGACACAGATCCCCCGTATAGCCTTGCCAGGATGTTGGGGCAAACGCCCGGCCGAGCGGGAAATTGAACTCGGGTCGCCGGGTAGCTAAGTGCAGCGCGCTAACCACCACACCACCGCTCAACCACGTGTCCCCTCTACACACCACCACCACCACCCTGAACAGCAAACCCGCAGCTACCAGCGTTGAAGCACCAATTAAAACACCCCCGCCATCACCACCGCCACAGCGTGGGAGCCCCGGCAGTGGATTGTATAACGTTTGCAAATGATTACTTTTGTCACGAGCCGAATGGGAAAATGGAAGGCGCTTATCAAATGACCCCTGGTTTTGTGTGCGCGATTGCTTTATAGGTGGACCCCCTCTCTTTCCTTACCTCCATGTCCAAGCCCACAAACTCGCCCCCTCCGAGTTCACCGCAGCCACCTCCTGTCGCACACAACACGCGCGCACTCGTGTAGGCGATGCATCTCGTCTTTCGCCTTATCCAACACACGTCCCACGATCATTTGGCACCGCCGAGACAAATTGAAGCGACCTCAGGAATTAAGCGACACAATGGACTGGGCAAGCCAGCAGGAGTGAGAAACAAAGCGGAGCCACAAACACAACCCACCCACATCCGCCACGAGTCTATACATTCGACCATTTTGCACACACGTGCGTTTAAATAACCGACATCAGCCAAGACGATTCCACGTGTGGACCCTTTTAAAACAGGCGATAAACTATTGTAAGGCCGAACACGGCGCACAAAGGAAGGGGTTGTCCGTCCGTGGTCACAGAACCGCGCACGACCGCCTTCGTCTCTCCGCCACCACCACCACCACCTTCCCTCCCACCGGTGCCCGTGTTTGCACCGCACAAAGTCCTCACTTATGGCCCTAATGGGCCCTCGGTTACTCGGGAGGCCAGGGACCGGTTGGGGACTTCACTCGCCGTGGCTGGGAATCTAAAACTCAACTCGCAGGGTTCGGAGCGCCACTCGCTCACACCCTGGCACTGCCACCGATACACACGCACACACAAAACAAAGATCTGGCGAACTCACGCTCTTCCGTGCTCCTTGGCAAGCGAGTGACACAGACAAGCAATGTCGAGAGACGCATACGTGGGGATGTGTCCCCTCTCTCACTGTGGCTCCGTACGATCACCTCCAGGGTTCAGAGGAAGGGGGGTTCACTGCTGCCGATGCCGCTGCTGGTACTGGTGGTGAGCGAGTCAGTTGATATTTGGAAACCAGAAGGGATGGAGTCCCCGTGTGGGAACTCTGCAAGAGCAAAAATCTGCTTGGGCTTAAGGGTTTCAAAGTGACGATTCTTCTTCTTCTCAGGTTTCTGGTAGTACGGTATTGGTGGTGGTGAAGCTGTTTGTGTGCTCTTGTTGGTGCTGCCAGTGACGGAGCCGGGAGAGGAGAAATCCAAAGAATCGTGGTCCCTGTGAAGCAACCCAGGTCCAGATGTGTTAAGGGTCTACTGCCGCTGCTGTTACTGGTACTTCTACTGCTACAGGTGCTTCTGATGTCGGTGGTTGATGGAGCAAGCCCACGGGCATAAAGATGAACCGAAAAGGAGCTCCACTCTGCGCAGGCGAACACTCCCGATTCCTCCAGGTGCAGAGAGCCACCCCGTAAAGAAGGCCGAGTCTGGCGCGGTTTACGTGACAATCGACCGTCGTTCCTGCTCCCGATGTATACGATGGAGCTAGAGCCGGTGAAAGAAGACAATGGATGAGAATGCACAAATAGTCTTATTCCTCCCCGTGAATGAGCCCGGATTTTGGGGCTGGCTTTACTGGCTCAACCGCACCTGCTGCTAATGCTTGCGCTGTTGCTTCTGCTGCCTCTGCTTGGGATGAAGAAGAGGACGAGAGGAGAAAGCCGAGGGTGAGAATCCTCCACGAGCGGCGCGTCTCTCCGACGAGAACGTGGGTGTCTCGTCTACTTCGGTCGCGAGTCCACCACCGCCACCACCGCTGCTATTATTATTACTACTGCCGTTGCTTATTCTGCCGTTGCCGGCGAGGAAGAGAAAGGCGCGGCTGATCGAGGAGGAGGATGAGGATGAGAGGACGAGGAGCCCGGGGGTCGCGGTCACCGCGCAGCCGGGCGGGCCGCTTCACGGGCATCGCCCGGGCAGCGAGGGGCGGCGGCGGCAGCGGCAGCGGCGCTCGGAGAGGCGAGGGCCGCCCTGCAGCGCGCGGCGGCGGCGGCCGCCCATTGCCCGAACGGTAATCACGCGCGGTTGTTGGTGTTGTTGTTGTTTGACGACTGTAACATTCACGCCGTTGTTATTGTTATCGATAATACATAGGCGTGGGCAGCGGATTTTGAAATAAAATAAAATTAAAGAACAAGAGGAAGGGCAATTCCACCGCCCCCCCCCCCCACCTTGTAGCGTCAGGCGGCGGCGGCCATGTTGGGTAAGGGGAAGGGGGCGTGGCCGCGCGGCCGCCTCCAATAGAATCTCGTCGGCGTCCGTGACGTCACCGCAGCTGCGCGCAGCGTGTGGGTGGGGAGGGGGTGCGCAACGTTCGCTCGGCCACCGTTGCCCCTCACCCTCTCCCTGGCTAAGATGGCGACCCGGGGCGATCGCGTCTCGACGACGTCGCGCGAGATCTCGCGTCCACTTTTCATTCATGGAGCTTCCTGCACAACATCCGGGCCCCCCCCACCCCGAGCGCCATCGATCGCCACGCCCACGCGCGATGTGGGGCGCGCGGCGGGGGCGGGGTTTGTGCGCGCGCGCGTGCAGAGAGTGGGGAGCGGCATGAACCCGGCGAACCGGGTTCGATTCAGGCTCACGGTCCTGGGCCTCCCCCTAGGTCGACTCAGCCTCAAATGAGTACCTGGTGAGGTGTGAAGTAAACATCGCCACGGGGGAGACAAAGGCTGTCGAGCGTGTACCGTTCCGGGCTTCATAGGTGCTCGCTAACAGCACTTGCCCCTACAGTCTGTTACGGATATACCGGGGGATCGTTCTCTTTGTGTGCAGAGACCGGGCCAATCAGCGCGCGGGAGATTGGGGGGGGGGGTTTGTGGAGGGGGTGGGGCTGGGGTAAAAGAGGGCGTGCCTGGATTGGAGAGGGCGTGGCTGGCGCTGATCGCGAGCTCGGCCAATCGGCTGCGGCGTGCTGAACGTGCGCCTCGACTCGGTGGCGGAGGGCACTTTGGTGCGCGTGAGTTTGACCCCACTGGGTTCGGGAGGGAGCTCCTGAGTTTGGCAACGGTGAAATGAAGGGGGGGTGGGGGGTGGAAATTGACAAACGTGGGCGGGGGTTGGCCTGTGCAATGTCTCTGCAGTGAAAACCCATGGGATCATGTGCATTCCCGGCAGACACGTCGCTTTTTTGTTATAAATTCTGGCATGCGGTGCACATGCCCTTCGAGCCTAAATGTGGAAACCCGTGTGGCTTCATTTACACGTGTTTAGGCATGCAGCTATTCTGACGCTCAAAGTAAACGCATGCTAATTTGAGAACTCAAATCTGCTTTCGCAAATTTACACGCCTCAATCATTGTGCCGTATCCCAAAAGTAAATACTTTAAACTAAATGTGGGCACTCCTCCTTTACAATTGACGTCCCTCGAGTATAAACAATTGCATACCCTCTCGTCTTCAATAAATGAACACATTGTACCGTATGAATGTATAGTATTGTTCCTGATACAATTTACTTTAAGCTTGGTTTTCACCCTTGGCCACTGCCAGTGTCCACTTATGAGATGGACATTCCATCTCGGTGCCAGCCCTTCATGACAGTGGAGTCTGGCGGTGACCACCAGGTGAACAATCTTAAATGTCACCGTCAAACTAAAGCCCTTACCTGGACAGTGGCACACGCCATCCACCTGTGAACAGTTCTCAGGTGCAAGAAGGAATTGGACTCGCTGCAACCACCAGGATCTTCCACACCATCTATATACTTGCCAACTCTTCCGATCACAGCGGTTGGCCACCACTTGATTTAAAGCTTTCGTGACTGCAGGAATTCATAAAGTCACGTAGATAGGTTCAAAGGAAATAACAAAACTACGACGTTTCGATCGCAACACAAGCGGTCGTCATTCAGGAGACGACCGCTTGTGTTGCGGTCGAATCGTCGTAGTTTTTTGTTTTCTTTGAACCTATCTGCGTGACTTTACCGAAAGACCCAAAGAATACGACCACCACTGGTTTTCCCCACCTTCACCGAATAACACATTTCCCAAGCTCTTTGCTCGAATCGGAATCGTTGGCAATCATCTCACTGGGTCGGGTGAGCAGCCCACCTGGCTTCGCCATCCCCAGAACCACCTTAAACGGTCCAGGTGTGGTTTGTTCTGCTGTGCCAAGCCCGACCGACCGTGTGAAGGGCAATATGGCACAGCCACTGTGCAGCTATGCTGCTGCGGTGGCTGGCTGGTGCACACATGATGGATAACTGCTCTTTCCGTCACCGGAGAAATTCCCAAGCTGCATGCTGCGTTGACCACTTAAGAATATTCAACCGGATATTTGTGTGTGCGATTCAAACATCTTGCTTGTCTTGACCACAACGCAATCGGTTATATATTGCCAGAATTGTTTTCCAAATAACTTGTGGTTGATGTATTGTATTACTTTTACGGGTTTGCCTTGTGCAGTGTCATGTTTTGCTATTATTTTAACTCCACTCTCCCTATAACCCCCCCCCCCCCCCTTATTTTCAAAAGGTCTCAACTGGTTATAATGAACTGTGCATGTAAAAATGGACGATACAATTTCTAGAAATAACATGCAACTGTTGCCTTTAACCTAATGGAACGAGATTAGAGCAAGACGTGCAATACAAACTAGACAGTATCGACTGCACAAACTAGACAAAAGGGAATCGATTATTTAAGGGACCTTGAATTGTGGGAATTCATCGTAGCTGGGCTGAGCGAGGAAATGCGTATTCTTAAATGCCGAGTGTCACAATATATGGTCGGCTCAACAACGCGCACGCATTTCACTTTGATGACATGCATACAGCAAAGCACTACATTGTTTCGAAGTATTGCTGAAGTTTTCTCCTCCCCACCCCCTCAAACAATGGGTGGCAGAGCAAAGACCACATCCAATGAGCCCAGTCAAGGCCACTAAGCCCTGCACGGAGCTCCCGATTTCTTTGCAAAGGAATACATCCCAACGCAAACTCTCTCTTGATTTCACAGCTTCATGACTTGGTTACAATCCAAATGCCAGAATAACCTCCCTAATCGTATGGGCTTTGTTCCTTTAACGGGTATACGGCTATTACCAAATCAACCGGAATAAGTACGAGCTCATCGGATCTCAGAAGCAAAGTAGGATTCAGTCTGGATTGCATATGGATGTGCGGGCACCTGTTGTAAGCTGCTGTGGGGCTACATTGTCAGGATAGGGAAAGTCCTGTAGCCACGCCGTTTACGCTCCCCTACTTCACCAACCTGGAGCAGCGTGAAGTATGGTCAAATAACCTCCATTCCCCACACAATATTAAAAAAACCCTCATCCAGCAGTGCAACTGAGGAGCTCTTACAAGGCACCCAAGTAAACTTGTTTCGAGTATAGGGATTTGCATCACCCAAGTATGGTTCAAACATTGGATGTGGGCTACTGTTATGTATGATACTGCAGGTTCTTCACCATGTGTTATACAATCATGTGTCTTGAGTACCAAAGTTGTGTGGTGATTGCACTTCGTGATCAGCTCATGTAGCCACTCAAACTAGACTGCAAACAAAGATAAACAAATGCAGATTAGGAAAAAAACCAATTTATCACATTTCTCCAAATGTAAACAAAACAATCTGTACAAGGTTGCTAATACAAGTTAACGTGTGAATGAATTGTCCCTTCAATGCGGGCGCAGGATTGTATGTAGGGAAACATACATAACAGGCTGCAGCTCAGATCAAAGTTTATAGTTATATAAAAATCCCTACATGACAGGGAACACTGTTTACGACACTTAAAGCAAAAAAAATCCTAGAGACCTATTTACCACCATTATAGAACACTTAGGTTGTTTGTGATCCTGAAGATGAATGTGTTTCAGGCAAAACAAAGTGGCTTTCATCCAACGTATTTAAGTACATGGAATGAAAACATGACAAAAGGTGCAGCCACTGTTGGATGTTTTTCCTTTCCCCCCCCACCCAACCCCTCGCCCCAATCAACATTATCAATATCATAGTTTGTAGTTTAGCCAAGATTCTCCAATTGAACCGACTCTTTTGTATGAAATCAGGACACATGACTTAACTGTTACAACAAAAAAGTTCTCATTGATTAAGGGCAACATAATGCAAGATTGATGATGTGAAAATCTTTGGTACATTTGTGCCAATGTAGATTTTTAGAACAATGATTTACAGTAAATACAATTTTGTTTGTTTGTTATCCATCGTTTAATCATATGCAGCCATTCTTGGATTTTGCCATGTATTCACCATACGTTTTGATGTGTTGGCATCTATCTGTATGAGACAAGATTACTGAAGATTTAGGCATTCAACCTCTGCTTATATAAAGCAGGAATTGTAATATCAACAGCTTAAAATACGGATGCCAAATTACCAATTGCTTGTACCCACAGATGGACATTCTTGACATAGCTTAGTGATGGATGTAAGATTAAGGTAATTCATTGTGTGGCTGTCATGGATTGTCATCCACATAATTTTTTATATAAATGTAGGATACCAAAATTCCAATGAAGTCCCAATAATACACATGAAGAGTGAACATGGCTTTCTTATTATAATTTCAGTACCTATAAGTTTTAAGTATCAGACGTCTACAAAGGATGGATACATGCTTCAATGGTATACACTTTGGACCACAGACAACATCCAACATGGTTGCAAACAATCCAAGATAGCCACTAAAAATATTCCACACACTTTTTAAATCTATGCTGTTTGTTTTAATAAAGTGCCCTCAGATCAATTTACACATTAAGTGACTTGCATCACATTTCTAACTTTTGAAAAGAAACTGCAATGGCAGCTTTCCCTGTGCAGCAGGAGGGGATGACTCAACCAACCTGCGAGCAGGCATTATTTAGTTTGCCAGTCGGGGGTTATGACTTCCATGTGTCATCCCAACTGAGTAATTTGTCGGCTATTTTAGAATTTCGCAAATTCTGGGCAACAAATAACATCAGGGGATCCTTCAGGTTCTCTGTGAAGCAGACGGTGCAAAGCATTTTACGGTTAAACACATACATTGTATAAACCAGGGCAGCCTGCTGGACTCAAATCACGAACAACTGAAGCACACAGCAAACGTGCTATCGCTGGGCCATGTCACCGCCAAGTTAGATCCCGATTGATGTAAAATCCCCATTAGCAAAAGAATGTACAATTGTTCACAAATTACACAATATGTACTAAGTGATGACAAAAGAAACAGGTCGCATGTGTAAAAAAAAAATAACTTGTTTGGTTTAAACCAGAAATTGTCAAATTTTGCTAAAATTGGCAGCCCTTGGGTTGTCATTAACATCATAAAGCTCCATGCTTAATGTAAAAATAATTATAACCTCCAAATGAAATCAGCACAGTTAGTGTTGTTTACTATTTCCCTTCCCAAAACTGCCTAACACGACATACCAAAGATGGTAATGAAGCTTAAAGGTAAAATGGCTGCCCATAATGCCCTAAATGTTCTCAATTTGTACATGTATACCCTACCGGAAAATTCAACCAGCAATAGGGTGCGTGCGTGTGTGTCAATGCAAGTTTTTTTTTGCATGTAAGACGGCAAGGGTAGTTGGATACAAAAAAAAAGTATTAAGTTTGGAAGGGACGGTTGGTACTGATGAGCTGGGCAGAGGTTACTCAGAGTCCGAGTCATCAGAATCATCTGTCGAAGAATCACTGCCACTGCTCTGGTTTTCCTCTCCCTCTTCTTCTGCCTGCACCAACACACACGGAGATGCGAAGTGGACAATCGCAACGTAACATTTGTCAATTCGCTTTTTTTTGCACTCAACATACACGCAATCACATATTTAAAAAGAAATGTTTACATGTAAATATATGAATAAAAAAAGCTTATTTTAACACCACAATTATTCTCAAAGTAGAGGAATGAATAACTGCATCTGTAACAGGCAAATACTCTCTCACCTAATCAAGCAAATCCTACCCATGGGTGTTGTTAGTATGCATTTTCTAAGCAAAGCAGGTTAAGTAGTCAGCATAAAATATACTGCAACTCCAGCTAATGCTGGTGCCACTATCCTCAATAGGAATCAGTAGTCTCCTAAATTTTGGTAGAATGTGCAAGCACCTTTATTCTTTGCAGGGTGAAATTGGTTTACATAGGGAGATTATATAACCTGTGCTGAACAGCAGTCCTTTGCGTGGCGACTTCATCACCAATTTATGAAGTGTTTTCGCCCAGTGATTTGCTCATCATCATTGCCACGCAAGTAATCAACCAGTCACGCTGAAAAAAAATTCCGACGCACAAAGTATTCACAATCCACGTCCGCAATCGAACATCACCACTGCCAAGCCTCACCTCCTCGCCATCTTCATCACTGTCATCGCTGTCCGAGCCCGATGTCCCATCACCCTCCTCCTCATCCGAGTCATCATCCTCACCATCGCTCGAGTCCTGAGCACCGGGAGCACCGGCAGCATCACTGTTAACCTCGTCGTTCAGCAGAGCTGCTGCTCAGAGTATAACGCCGATTATCCCACATCATAGAACCAAGGAGTCCAATTGTTAACTCTTGGAAAAGAGAAACCAGAGACTTTTAATCTTTCTTGGGTAAAGGATTATAAAAAGACAGCTTTGAAAAACTGACTTATGGCACTTATACCTGGCAATTATCGACAATCTGGTTACTTTCACTTAAAATAATTAACAGCGATGAACAGCATGTATTGCACCTGAAGCAGTGTCAAAAGACTTCATTAGAAAAGTGATGCAAACACCTGCATTATTTATATCACAAGCAGCTAATCTGTATGGGTCTTTGTCCACATAAACCCTGCTAAATCACTCCATTCATTTAAATGAGCTTATGATATGTAGTTTGTGAACGGGGTCAAAACGGCCTTCCCATGACATTGTATGAATTTGCGAATGTCGGGCGAGTGGTGAACGACGAAGGTCAGGTGAATTTGTGAGTAATTTCACCTCATTCATAGGACGGGTTGTCGACTAGTATTATATGTCTCTTTAAGTATCAAACGAGTTGTGCATACTGTTTTGCTTTATCTTCTGTACTAGGATACAACGTTTTATTGCTGCCCTGTGTGCAACTTCAGTGGAGTTGAACTCAATAAACGCCCAAGATGCGTATACAGCGTATAAAATGTGCATATCAATTATACAGACGGCGGAAGTGTTGCACCTGTGGGATACACTAAAATAGTCTGTTCCACGTAGCCATAAATCACTTGGTCACCACCGTAAAAAAAACAAAGAGTATCTTTAAATCGTCCTTGTGATATCCTCTGCCCATCTGTGGATTTAAAAACGTAAAGGCGTGCTGGACAAAGTCAAGTCAAAGTGTCTACGTTCTTGAATGAGCATTGAGTGGTGCTCCTCTTCAGTGGTGGCTCTGAGCCAGTGGTGGAAATCGCACATTCTTACTTCAGAGGTCAATGTATTAGAAAGTTAAACGACGAGCTTGGATTATGCCCGAGAGCCATGGACACGGCTTAACTTCAGTCGAGTCTGTCTAGGTTAGTCACTTGGAATATATATTCACAAACAGCATACTACATCATTGGAACCTCCTTTGCCAGTAGCAAAATATTGTTTTTTTTTTACCCTTTTATCTGGCAACAAAACTGACACCTTTTTTTTTACATCTCGTATACCTCTCGCTGGCTGTGGCTACTGTCTAGGTCCTACACCAGTCTACCAAGGTGACCCTGCACTTATTCAGTGAGAAAATGAGCCCCGGGAATGGGCACACTAGCTCACCGAAGTGTCTGCCTTGGGCATGGTGATGCGCATCTTGGCTGGTGGTGCGCTCGACTTGGTGCCGCCTTTACGCTTCTGCGACGACAGTGGGCGGGCAGCAGGAATCGGAAAACAGGGAGCGGGCGGGTAGCCGGGAAACAAAGCACCGCCATGGTTAACAGCTGTAAGGGAGCAACGGAAACAAATACAATGCTTGACACATTCGCCAATAACACCGTGGCCATAGCACACAGAGACCAGAGAGATAGAGTGGATAGAAGTTAGTGACTTCAATATACACCACAGGGCATTTAGAAAAAAAATCAAATTAACTTTTTAAATTGGCATATTAAGTTACATGTTAGCAGCTATTAACTGAAAACCCTTCCAGTATTAATTGTATTATAGATGTATATTAAAGCATAAAATATGGCTGGCAAATTGTATTATGGGTAGAACTGTTCAAGGAAGATCTATTAAACCATAATTAGTATATTCCACTTCAAGACGTATTCCTGTACAGCGGACAAGGTATCTGCTACCGCTGCTGTGTTATTTTGTGTAAAGGAAATGAGATACAGCAGAGGTGCCACTCACATTGGCTATGGACTCTTTGTATGCTGCCCGTTCAGAAGATGATAGCGTCTGTCAAGAAGGTTAAAATATTCATTAAAATATACAAACGCAGACTGACAAGGTCACTCGATATATATGTCGTGTACAAAAAAACAGATGTCAAAAAATCATGTTTAAATAATCATTGTTATTTTTGTCTTTTAAAATGTTATTCCAAATGTGCTCCTGGAACCAGACCATAAGATGAAGTATCCATTCGGAGACTGTCACGGAACTATATCTTGTGGTCATGTATGTATATCGGGGTTGTCATATTCAGGTATCCCACATAGCAATGTTAGGTGCACAACTTAATATATTCAGGTAAAAACAAGACGATCCCGTTTAGCTATGTTGCTGTATCATGTGCCTTGATGAACCTAATTCCAGGGTGCACACCTTGATCCAGGCGTCAAGCGCCACCTGGTATTTGCGTTGTGCCTCCTCCGTCATCTGCTTGTACTTCTCCTTCTGCGCGAGTGACATTTTCTGCCAGCGCCGGCCGATCTCCACCATACGGTCCTTAAGGTCGATGCGCGCCAGCTCACCGTTCGACAACAACTGCTGCGAGAACATCTGATAACCGCTCCTGCGAGGCAAACAGCACAGATCCACGTTTTGGTTCATTGCAGTTCAACACCCCGTCTACACCCACACGCAATACTTCCCACTAAAATCTATAAGCAATAAATCAATAAATAGGCATGTATCAAATTTTGACTTCAAACTTTTGTGACTGCAGGAATTCATATTCGTTGGTTCTTTCAGTAAAGTCATGTAGATCGAAAAAAAACTAATGTAGACTGGTAGCCTGGTTCTTAATTGGAGTGTACTGGCAGTCTATAATGTAGACTGTAGCCTGTTTATTAAGTTTGGTGAGTGTACTGGCAGTCTATAATGTAGACTGCCAGTACACTCTACATTATAGACTGCCAGTACACTCACTCAGGTTAAGAACCAGGCTACAGTCTACATTATAGACTGCCAGTACACTCACCCAGCTGAATAACCATTGCTATAGTCTACATTATAGACTGCCAGTACACTCACCAAACTTAAGAACCAGGCTACAGTCTACATTAGTGTTTTTTTGTTTTCTATTTTTTATTCACTTTATTTTAATTTTTTTCTAGCTACGTGACTTTACCGAAAGAACCAAAGAATAGGAATGTAAGAATTCACATCTGCCCCCAACACATCACAAATTCTGTTGTCACAGATCTGGGCTGCAAATCAACCCAAGAATCGATTTCTTTGTTATTTTGTTCATCAACTCTCGTGTAACTTCCTATTTTTTGTGTCGTTTGTATAATTTCGTTTGCTCAATTACACAAAAAACAATTCGTATATAATTAGTATATTACGTGCATACACTAATCATTACTCATATTCATAAATTGATACATGTATCAAGAGAATTATAATTAATCAATGCATAATTACACACCTAGTCTGCAACCACAAAATTTGTTGACCAAATTCCACGTGTCTGTCTCCATTAAACTGACACAAGTGCGGCATGGTCTGTGCGCTGCATGCAGCCCCACATACTGTCAGTGAAACATTAACGAATGTAAAAGCGACGCGCATCACTTACACCGGTGGCTTTTTGGGCTCCCCCTCAAACTTCACCTTCTTGTTATGTGGGGGAGCGGCCGTTGTCCTCAGGGTAGTTAGTTCTCTCTGGACAGGTACAATGTACACACAGATGCACAGTGAGCAGCACAAAGTACACACAAAGGAAAGCAAGGGCACATGCAGAAGAAGCGCAACGACCGCCATCGCCGCAGCGTATCGACGTGTACACGGGCGTGCGCACCTCATATCGCTTCTGGTCCTCAGCCGCTGCCTTGATCCAAAATATTTTTTGCTTCTTGTCCAGACCTTTCCACTCTGCGTCCAGCGCCTTCAGGGCTTTCTTTTTGTCATTCTGAAATGAACAGTGCACGGAAATGTGGTGAATCCAGCAGTGGCTGTAAAAAAAAACCACGATCTTCCCAATGTGAAGTAGCATTATGTTCTGCAGTCCACCATGAGGAAGACGCGAGTGACTACTCACACTTGTGGCAAAGTCTGTATTTAGTTAATTTTTTTGGTTGGCGCTTTATTTTTTTCCCTTCACATTAATATTAACAACACAGAATCATGCGTCAAGTGCGTTGTGTTCAATGCTTCGACATCATTGCATACATTCCACAATGCAACAGGCCTGTAAGAGTTAATTCATTTATTAAAACAGATTATATTCATGATGCACACATTAAATTTTACAATTAGATATAATTTATTTATCATATGCAATTTGATCACATGACCCATGCAGCCACTCGAGGCACTACATGGACCACAATGCAAAAACAAATAAATGATTTAACCTAATCGAGACCATGAGTCAGAAGAATTCATTTAATTCAGGGGATAAATGCATCGCATGGATATATAACAAGCAGACATACACAGAGAGACCAATACTGCAATTAATAAATCAGTCATAAAGCACATCTCTTTAGAAATAATTCTAAATGAGCAAAGTCACTCCGTGTGTGGGATGCAATCAAGTGTGCAACAGTCACTGTCAGTGCGGGCCGATGCAAAGCGAATTGTGATCCTCACCTTGTATTTCACCAGGCACTCCACAAGCTTCGTTTGCTGGAAGATCTCCTCCGCCGTTTTGGGCGTCTCGGGCGTCTTTCCCCGCTTCCAGGCTTCCTTCTTGTCCCTCCCATCCTCCTCCTGGACAGAAATTGTACAACAAAGCAGCCCCCTGTGACTCTCTTGCAAGCAGCTTGCCAGAAAGCGAGAGGTCAGCACCAAGGCACTTACGTGCGTACGCACCAAGCCACATGGTGCGGCAAATGGGAGACTGCAAGCTCAGAGTAGACTAATCAGCTTGAGTTAACAGTGAGGGAAAAAAGTATTTAATCCCCTGTTGATTTTGTACGTTTGCCCACTGACAAAGAAATGATCAGTCTATAATTTTAATGGTAGGTTCATTTGAACAGTGAGAGAGAAAAACAAAACAATCCTGAAAAACGTATGTCAAAAATGTTATAAATTGATTTGCATTTTAATGAGGGAAATAAGTATTTGACCCCTCTGCAAAACATGACTTAGTACTTGGTGGCAAAACCCTTGTTGGCAATCACAGAGGTGAGATGTTTCTTGTAGTTGGCCACCAGGTTTGCACACATCTCAGGAGGGATGTTGTCCCACTCCTCTTTGCAGATCTTCTCCAAGTCATTAAGGTTTCGAGGCTGACGTTTGGCAACTCGAACCTTTAGCTCCCTCCACAGATTTTCTATGGGATTAAGGTCTGGAGACTGGCTAGGCCACTCCAGGACCTTAATGTGCTTCTTCTTGAGCCACTCCTTTGTTGCCTTGGCCGTGTGTTTTGGGTCATTGTCTGCTGGAATACCCATCCACGACCCATTTTCAATGCCCTGGCTGAGGGAAGGAGGTTCTTACCCAAGATTTGACGGTACATGGCCCCGTCCATCGTCCCTTTGATGTGGTGAAGTTGTCCTGTCCCCTTAGCAGAAAAACACCCCCAAAGCATAATGTTTCCACCTCCATGTTTGACGGTGGGGATGGTGTTCTTGGGGTCATAGGCAGCATTCCTCCTCCAAACACGGCGAGTTGAGTTGATCCCAAAGAGCTCCATTTTGGTCTCATCTGACCACAACACTTTCACCCAGTTGTCCTCTGAATCATTCAGATGTTCATTGGCAAACTTCAGACGGGGATGTATATGTGCTTTCTTGAGCAGGGGGACCTTGCGGGCGCTGCAGGATTTCAGTCCTTCACGGCGTAGTGTGTTACCAATTGTTTTCTTGGTGACTATGGTCCCAGTTGCCTTGAGATCATTGACAAGATCCTCCCGTGTAGATCTGGGCTGATTCCTCACCGATCTCATGATCATTGCAACTCCACGAGGTGAGATCTTGCATGGAGCCCCAGGCCGAGGGAGATTGATGGTTCTTATGTGTTTCTTCCATTTGCAAATAATCGCACCAACTGTTGTCACCTTCTCACCAAGCTGCTTGGCAATGGTCTTCTAGCCCATTCCAGCCTTGTGTAGGTCTACAATCTTGTCCCTGACATCCTTGGAGAGCTCTTTGGTCTTGGCCATGGTGGAGAGTTTGGAATCTGATTGATTGATTGTTTCTGTGGACAGGTGTCTTTTATACAGGTGAGAAGGGGTCAAATACTATTTCCCTCATTAAAATGCAAATAAATTCATAACATTTTTAACATGCGTTTTTCTGGATGTTTTTTGTTGTTATTCTGTCTCTCACTGTTCAAATAAACCTACCATTAAAATTATAGACTGATAATTTCTTTGTCAGTGGGCAAACGTACAAAATCAGCAGGGGATCATATACTTTTTTCCCTCACTGTATAATTAAAGCCGAACCTGTCAAGTGTCGTCTATTACTAAGTCATGACAGCGATTTTGTGAGATCTCAGAAGCTAAGCAAGGTTGAGCCCTGAACAGTACTTGGATGGGTGGTTGTTGTTGGTCGAGGGCCTGTTGCGCGGCAGGCAACGAAGCAATAGCTATTGTTGTACTGTACTTTTATGCTCCCCAGCTTCACCAACTTGCACTCAGTAGGGTGGCAAAGGATCTTCAAATAACCCTCAGAAGACCCAGACAAAGTGGAAGAGCCCTCATCCTGTAGTGGAATGAGATAAGGCTATACAATACAAAAACCACTGTCAGTTCATTGCCACTCAATACCGTTTATATAAAAAAAAAGATGTCGGTAAGTATTTTGTCTGAGATTGCTACATTTACTGTCCTTTAGTTGCAGTTAATTGCTCAATTTTGGCTAAGACTCCAGCGCGGTAACGGTATGCACTTGTGAGTGATGCCCACTCTTAATAGTAGCCGACACACTCCTGTCATTTCTTATGAACAAAAATGCAGAAGCAAACTAGCTCAATCGTAAGTGCCCTAAACTCATAGGTTATCCAACAGCAAAAACATATATATAATCCTGCATTTGTGACAAAGTACAACAATATTCACAGATTTCCACAAACTCACAAGACAGCCATTGTTATCAGTGTTGGGCAAATAATATTAATCGGATGGCCGATCTTAACGCACGAGCACAACACCGCTCGCAGAAAACAAACCAAGCAGGGTCGAGGGGGGGGGGCTTGCATCCCACTACCTTTGGCACCAGTGATCGGCTGGCAGTGGAAGTCGCCAACTTTCCCTCCTTGCCCTTGTCTTCATTCACCACCCTCTCCCGCTCTTCCTCGGGTAGGCTCTGTTTCGGACATTGGGCACAGGAACACCACTGTGACGATGACATCGTCGTGACCGTGCCGCGCCCCCTTTAACTCAAGCTCCGTGCCAATGCCCTCACAAGGCAAGCCATGCGCCCCCTAAGGGTCGCTTCCTGATTGAATTTGGCAAATTCATAAAAAAGCTCTGTGATGTGGCTCGCAAAATGCTTGGCGGGATTAGAACGTACCTCAAGAAACCTCTGAAATTCAACTTCAAACTGCCGTTTTTTCTGGAAACAATAAAAAACAATACAATTACAGAAAACAGTTCTCATCTGGCAAGAGTGAACATATGCTTATATTTAAGTCAGGTGACAAAAAGCGATGCCATTTAGTCTACATATGAAAGCATCAATGGGGCCTCCTAACTTAAAAGGAAAAGTGACTGCAGTACAGTATTTGTATGGGAGCACCTACTTAAGTTAATTCTTACAGCACACATGAGAATATGGTGGCATTGTAAACAATTCCTTTTTTTTGCAATCTCAAGACCAAGGAACCGAGTTCATTTGAGCTTCAAGTTGAATTCTCATCGCTCTGGCAATAAAAAAGGGGGTTGCACTTTATAGACGGAAGCAGAGTGGAGGGTCAGTGCCGTGCGCTGACCTTACTCAGCACCACACATTCAACCGTCTCAGCACTACAACACTGATCTGATCATCACATATCAACATGCTTCAGGACCATACACTCACCAGCTCACAACGCTTCTGGAAGGAGTCTTTCTCCTTGTGTGGTAGCGACCGCCACTGCCGACTGCACTCGATCATGCGCTCCGTGCAAGGGATGTCCTTCAGCCCCACCATCAGCTCGGCACAGAATAACGCATAGCCATTCCTGAAGCAGTCCCCCACATCCACACGCAGTACACAAGTGCATGGGCGGGACGTCACAAGGAAGTCAGTACGGACACATACAACATACGATACACGTAGGTCTTAGCAGACACATTGGCTGCATTAATATGCAAGAATGGTGGTTCAAAAACTATTCTTAAATACCTAGGTTCCTTATAATTTACCAATTACATCAGTAATATCCTTCACTGAGCTATGCAAGCACACTTTTAGGTTTTCCTCCAAGGGAGACTGATTAATTTTATTTACACAAGCATAAATAACAGAATTTTACAACTTAATTGCAGGCACTTATCAGGGCTACCACCCAATGATGGTGTGCGACGATTACAAACAGCTTGTCAAATGTGGGAGCAATCCCTTCCTCATGAAAACTCTTTTGAGGTGGCACAGCCTTTGTGTACGTGTTTGTATGCGCGAGCTCACGGAGGGGGCTTGCTGGGCCTCCCGTCGTGCTTGTCCTTGAGTTGTCTCTCTGCCTTGGAGAGCACCGACTTGATGTTATCGTCGTGCACATACTCGGGGTGGCTCTCCATGTAGTTGCGCACCGCACCCTGCTCGACGGAACCCACAGCACCACGCAAATGCACGCAACTCTACCATCAAGACGGGGTCGGCAGTCAGGAGACTCGCATAGATCCTGTTTCAGCACACCAAGGAGCATAAACCATCACGCAAACTGCGGCCATCCTCGCAGCAGCTTTTGGCTAGCCTTTAGATGCACTTCTGCAGCCATCTGGAAAGCTCTTCCTTCTGATATTAGGAAGCCACTGGAGCTATGCACTTTTAAATCGAGATTGAAAACGAATTTCTTGACAATTGCTTTTTGCGTTTAGTTTAGTCTTTCCCCCGCACCTCCGATTAGCACGGTTGGCTATGCGGTGCACGAAATAAGTTCAACATACATACATATTTACAGTTTTGTGAGCGTTGTTTTCAAGGACAAGAAGCAAAAACATATTGAAAATAAATGCGTAAGAGGGGGGTTCGTCTTGCTGGGTTTCCTAGTAAGTAAATCCTAAACCAGTCCCGCAGTTGTCACCCAGAGGTCAGCAACCAAAGAGGAACACCTAAAGATGTGGGATTCTGTAAGAAAAGATCTTAGGAAGTCGGGTGTCAAGTTTGCATCAGCTGCTGGACCTGGCAGAAGTGATGGTGAGATATGGTGTGGTGACATCGAGACCATAGCTGTGAGCACCTCAAAACTTTTGGGCTCAGACCACAAGATTCAAAACAAGGGCTGACCAAACCCACAAGCTAAAGTTGTATTGATACATTTTTGTACAGCGCCCAATTTCTTAAGGATCTAGTCATAAATTAGTATTTGATATTTTTGCGGGTAGGTAATGCTTGCTCCCTTTTGCCATAAAAAGTGGCGATGTGGGTGCAACGAGCAGCACCTCATACTCCTTCTGCAGCTCCAGGGCTTTGTGGATCCACTTGAGACGCTTCTTATCGGGCAGGAGAGACCATTGCTTGCGCAGAGCCTCCTTCACATCCCGCTGGTTCATCTGCACACGGTGGGGAGAAATGTGGTAATGATGTATACCATGCTCAATGAGGCCACGCAGTTAGTTTTTCCCATGAGCTGAAATCCCCATCCATTATGGACTTAAGGCCCTATATGTAAATATGGATATTCCAACTAATCAAATAATTGATTTAGACTAAGCGACGTCCCACTGAGACTGAAAAAGGGGCCCCCAAGGTAAAATAAAAATCGTGACAAAAGCACCTCGACACGTATACGTAGCTTAGCGGCATTTATGTTTTGAGTGGTGAAAACAAATATGGCTTTCCAGGTTAGTGTTTCCCAGTGCGGAGAGTTTAAACATGAGGCTGGACCAATCTGGCCAGCATCGAGCGTCTTCTGTAGCGTAGCCACATCCATATGCTAAGCAGGTGCAGCTTTAGGCTTAGCGATGGCATAAGCCAAAATTATTAAGTGGTGGCACATGAATGGCAATGAGGAAAAGCTAAATGGAATAATAGTTTGTGCATTTCCAAGAATTGTATTCCAAGCAGACAGGCCGACCTCCGTGTTCTGCTTCATGAAGATCTTCTTCTCGTGGTTGTACCACAGCTGGTGTGGCGTCTTGGGTTTCTCAGGGTGATCAGACTTCTTCTTTCCGGTGTCCACCAGCTCTGGATGCTCCTCCCTGCCCACCAAGAATAAATCATAACTTCCATAAACCACACACATACAAAATACACACTTGGGGAATCTTTTTTTTTCAGAAACTATTTTACGTTTTGTGTACATACGTGTGAAAGAGTCGTCGCAGACAATCGCATAAAAGCACTATAGATTTTGCTTTTACAGCTCCCACTTATTCATGAAATAGCAGCAGCCCGCAACTCACCGGAATTTGGCCATGGCTTTCTCAAAGTTTTCCAGCTCCCTTTGGTACTCTTCTATGTACTTCATCTGCTTTTTGAAATACAATATCAACACAGCATGATCACCATTGTAGTATAATAAAAAATAAATCACAGCTCTTTTTCAATCCACTGCCGGTGGGAGGCCTTTCCACGCTATGTCAGTAATGGGGGTTATGGATTGGCAATGTATACCATACCACTTCGAGGTGTAATGTGAGCACATCAATTCCATCCATGGCCTCTCCTGAATCCAAGATCTGCATAATCTCACGTTTCAATTTATTCAAATATGTTTCACTTACGGATCTGTGCATTTGCGCTGTAGTACAAGATGATATAAGCGAAGCAGTACTGTGGTTGATAGGGTTCAGTACACGAAGGGGCAACTGAAACCAGGCAATATGTAGGACCGACTGGCTGAACCCAAGAGGTGTGTGAACACAACATTGCAGGCATGTCAATATCACGAGTCATGGTGCTGGTGATAAGGGTTCCATCATCGCTTGCTGTTCCTGCTGTGAGGCCATGCCTTTTTCTTCTCGGGCAGCTCCTTGTAAATCTTGGACATGCAGCGCGTGAGGTCCAGGTTGCTGAGATCTGGGTACAGCTTTGCATATTTGGAGCGTTTCTCCACGAAGAAGCGGAAATAGGGCGTGAGCGGCTTCTTAGGGAAGTCGGGGTGTGTCTGCATGTGCGAGAGACAGCAACGGACGGTGAATCGCGCAACCCAGAACAAAAAAATCTCTGCAAATGCCAATGCACATGGAATATAGACACATTGATTAATTTATTCTTACAGCGCTTGATACACGCATCCAACCGTGCTTGTAAGAATCGATTATTGTTGACTTTTATGTGATGGGTTTGCGTAACCTATGCTGCCAATCGGGGCCACTATATTAACAATAAAAAAAAAACTGCTGGAATCGAATCACAACCCCTAAGTGTGAAAATGTATCCATTCGTGAGGGGGAAAATCTTTACAGGCCTGACACTGGTTCTTATCCCGATTACAGCAGCCAATTGCAAAAACGTAGTTATTATATTTACCAATGACAAACCGCAAAGGCAATACAGATATAACTGGTGGCATTGAGACACACGACATGGTTATCACTCAGTCATTTCTCTCAAAAGAGATCAGAGCATCACCTTAAGCTTCTTTCCCTTGTAGGGATTCTTCACGAACTCTCTTGCGTCGATCAGCAACTCCGTCATCGTGCGATATTTGCGGATCTGCAGGCACCGACAGCACAAACACCGCCATCAGCCTTCACTTCTATAGCCGTGCAGCTCCAAGACAAAGACGAAAATAATGTAGAAATGTGGGATGGCCAAGAGTGGAAAAATTGTGTATACGTTAAAATATTTCTACAGCTTGTTCACAACAGTAGGCCACTGTGTGGAGATTTTGCTTCCAAATACTACACAATTAATTACCGGTAATTATTGATCATGTCGGTAAGTTGAGAGAGTACACTACTACAAAGGTTTTCGCAGTCGTACTTATGGCTTTACGGAAACAATCAAATAACATGCAACCTGAAAACACATCAGAGCAATGTGGGAAGTATCATGTGACCAAACTGGCGCTAGGTACTATTTGGTATGTGGATGATCTAAGATTGAGACAGTACCACGAAAAAAGTTTGTTAAGCAAACATTGCAAACCTCACCTCGGTGGTCAGCTTTAGCCATTTTTCACGACATACTTCGCCCGAGTAGGGTCCGAACTTGACTTTCTCCCAGTCAAAGTGAAGTTCGGTGGTCTTGAATTTCAATGTGTCGCTCTCGGGAACCAAGGCATGCATGCGGTCAAGAAGCGTCGTCAGGTCATCCTGCGTCCAAATATCTATTGCATCGGTGCAAAAATCAAAATGGAAAGATTCATTACAATTTCAAAGCAGCCAGAACAGGGGCACAGGAATTACAAAACATATAATCTGAGACCAATTTGTCTCTCAGCCCACAGGTAGCAGACATCTGACGGATTTGGTCTGGTCGTTCCACCCAGCGGGGCTCACAGAACAAAATATCTCAGGACGATGCGCTTACTGCACAATGCGGTCACTCACGATCCCCTGCACCCGAGCCCTGATGGACAAATCACCTGTGGAGGCCATCGTGGATGCCCCGGATGTCTGCACGCCTTCCCCTTTTTTCTGCAGGTCTCCGTTCATGTCACGCCGCCTCACCTACTGGAGACGGGAGGGCACAACGGGAGCCGTGCGGCTCCTTCCTGTGTGACACGAGTACGCGCGTCAGAATTCACACATGCCCAGCCGTGGACGCGTGTCTTATTCAGTGCTTTCCCGGGATCTCGGCCATGCTAGCCCATGCACTCACAGGAAATGCTGTCTACCACTGTGCCTTAGTCACAAAGATCAACATATATACAAAATGTTACTCGGCGCTGCTTTTCTGATCAGGCCGCCGTCAGTACAACACACCCAGTGCTGTTGTTAAGGAAACTTAAGCAGATACCAAAATTAAGCCTTTTTATTTTTGCCCAAAGAAACATATGTGCAAGTGATTCCCTGAGGATAGATATGTGTGCTTTACAAGTGGAACAGTTTTTTAAACCTCCTTCTCCACAGCATCACAATAATTGTTCATACAACAAAAGCAAGTATCTGAATTTGATGCAAGATTTTGAGTTGCCAAAAGTATTCGTAAAATGTGCTTCTGTGTTTGTGGCTATAAGCCCAAGGCAGCATCTGCAAACTATTGAGTCAAATAAAGGACAAAACCAGACGTCAGTGTTATACACAACGCATTAAAATTTGTTTACCGTTAGATTTGCGAATCTGGTGCTCGAGCCACACAAGACCCTACTTATTTTCAAAGAACACAAACACATGTGTAACATTATTCTCAGTGGCTGTCCTGGATATAAATACAACCGGCATATGTCATTCATAAAGTGTTATAGGTAAACAATTCCGTTTGGTTTTTAATGAAAGTTGCTCGATTAACATCACTCTCCAACACAACCTTAAGGTTCTAACCTAAACGTTTATAACATTAGGGAAAACTTTTATTGACGTGACATGGGTGTTGGTTCCAAGGGCTGATGGGGGGGGGCAAGTTCATGTTTATATTGGTCTCGAAAGCCTACGTGTCAACCCTATACTGCCAAGAATATGGACTGTATATGACATAGATCTACTCATGGTGCATTAGCAGGTTCCCCAATGATGTGGGTTTAATTCAGTTACTCTACTTTCCTCCTACAGCAAACACTTTAAAATAAGGTACTGGCCTAACAAACCAAGCTGGACCATTCTGAAAAAAACCTAAAGGAAAATGCAGTGCAAAAGGCAAACAGCTTTGGCATGTACCTAGGCTGTGTCCTGGGCTGTCAGACTCCAGCTAAAAGCATTTTTACGTGAGAAAAAAAATATCTGAATGGTAAAGACTTGGTTGTCACGGACACTACCAGTGTTCATGCAATAAATGCAGAGACATTGTAATCATATATGAGACTACTGTCGCCCTGACGGTAGTCTAATATATAATAAAGCACGTGACTGTACATTTACAGTCTATTTTATCATGCTCATTAACAAAGCTTCAACCTCATAAGATGGCTTGGAACACAAAGCCAAGCTTGCTATCAACAATGCGTTTTTTTTATTTCAGGCTCCATGCATCTTCTTTTAACGACTCAAAATGTGGGCTTCCCAGGGAAATATTTCAATGTACAGCATTAGGTCATGTTTGTTTTTTTTTTCCCACAAGCCCAAACAGCACGGTATAGTATAATATAGACCTGGCAGGATGCGCACAAAACAGTGTGCAGCCAGCGTTAATGCCTTTCCTTCTCAAGCAAGCGACAGCCGGCCGAGTCCCCAGCTACCTCCTTTTCCTCCTCTCTCTGCCCTGAACAGCGGCACCCCCACCACAAACCCCGGCAAGCTGGCCGCCCCTCAGCCTGCGTGCATGCATGCATGCAACACACGCATGCACACAAAAGCATGCTGGGTCCCGCCTGCCCTTGAACAATCACCAATGCTCTCTGCAGCTGCAAGAACAAAATTTTCTCTCCTCTGTTGCTCGCACAGCGGGCGCCCTCGCCGAGGCCGGCGTGGCGTCCTGGCTGTGGGGCGACGCACGTGTAGTAGCCCGTGGCCCATCCCTGCCCACCCAACAACCTTCCCCGGCTGACTGCACTCCGTGATGCATAGCTCGGTGCTTGGCTCGGCACCTAACCCTGAACATGTGGTAGCTGGAATAGTTCCTGCAAAAAAATATATTTTTAAACGTACGTACACGCAGAGTGCAACAAATTAGCATCGGGGGTTGTGCGCATCTCCTATAGCTGAGAACTGAGCGAATGGTGGAAAACCCACATTCCTGTGCTTGGAATCGGCCTCCAGAACGATCACTGGATATCTTACTTGCAATTACTTCTACGTAAAATACAGCCAATGCAGTATAAACATAACTGTGCGCAATTATGTTTCCCGAGACAATTTGACCCAAAAGGTCATCCACGGCGATGCGCACAAGCTGCTGCGCCATAGATTTGCCTTTGTGAAGAGTTTAATCTCAAACGTGCGCAGTCTGCGGTTCCACACACCGACGGATGCAGTATCGCAGTAGTATTTAATTTCCAAATGTATTCGCCAATCTTTTACTTCCCCTAGGATTCGTCGTCAAATATACAACGGCGGCTCCACACTGCACACGCACGAGTGTGCGCACTACACTGTACAACACGCTGCCGACTCCCCTCCGAGCCATTTAAACGACACCAACACCACCACCACCGTCTCTTCCTCCTCCTTCTCCCCCGATAGGCCCCGGGGAGAGACAACGTGGGGGGGTGGGGGTGAGGCAGCCGCACGGCTGTCGGGCGGCTCGCCCCGCGGATCACCACCCCCCATGTGTGGATGATGTGGGGGGGGGGGCTCCTGCCCCCCCCCACGTGTCTCGACACGTGGGGGGGGGGCTCCTGCCTCCTGCCCCCCCCCCCCCCACGTGTCTCGACACGCCTCTCCGCCTTCCACCGTCTCCCGGCTGCCTCTCTCGGGGGCGGCCCTCGGCGGGGCGGCCCCGACGCTGCCCAACCCCAGTCCAAACCAGACCCTTAAAAGCCCCCCGGAGCCAACACAGTTTCTAGCCCGACGGTACTTGACCCAGTCACAGTCCCACCCGTGCCGTAACAACACACAAACCAATCCAGTCTTAACCCCCCCCCCATACCTGTGACACTGTCTCACCCTATATGACCCGGTTTAATCATACCCATGCCCAACATTGACGGCCTAATCCTATCCAGCGCAGACCCATGAACTCACATGCCGTACGCTCTCCCATCCTGAAGATGCTCTACAAGACTTGACCCAAATCTCGCCCTGGTGCAACATTATTACCCTGTGAAACTTCAACCTGACCCCGGTTCTCACAGCAGCCAACCCTACTACACCTACCAGGGCAACAAAATGCTACGCACAGTTGCAAATGTTCCCTCACTGGTGATCAACAATTGCAGTAAAGAGGAAGCCACCGTCGTCAATATCAACAGCATTAAAAAAAACCTTCACCTTATTTCCCGTCACTACCACAGGCCCCTAACGTCGCAAAAGATCAGCAACATCCAAGTTACCCCTCGACTCACCCAGAGGTCTCTTCCCCTACCCTCGCACACACCGTACGGAACAGAACACTAATTGTGTATGTATGGTGAACTTCTTTCGCACCGTACGTAGCACAACCGTGCCAATCGGGGGTGCTGTCCCCGCAGTACGGAACAGTAATGTCGACACGCGTAAGACGGCATACAGCAGCGAGTGTACACGTGGAGCTATACAGCTGTCCTGCTTTAGTGCACGTACAGTGTATATGTTGTCTGTAGCGAGCACCGTATCGGTAGGGTCTGTGTATGTTGTACATAAGTCTGTCGTCTACCGGGCATAGTCTAAAGCGCCTGTGTGCTTTTGGCGTGCATGTCTATCCAGTTTGTATAATTATACATGGGATGTTTACGTAGAGTACAGCCGATATGCTGCAGCGCATAGAGTACTGTATATTGTATAATTGCAAGTGTATAAGTCTATAGTGTAGAGTGTATACATCGCGGCTACGCTTGAATCGTGCCTGTGTCTCGACAGTCTACGATCGGACATTTAAAGTCGTCCACGGCTGTACAATCTGTTTATTTATACATAACGCACTGTAGTCTTATACATAGTGCGCCTGTGTATAGAGTGTGTATATGGTTTGTGTATCTATTTTGTGTATAGAGTTTGTGTAGAGTTTATGTATATAGTTTGTGTATATAGTATATAGTTTGTGTATATAGTATATAGTTTGTGTATATAGTTTGTGTATAGAGTTTGTGTATAGAGTTTGTGTATACAGTATAGAGTTTGTGTATAGAGTTTGTGTATACAGTATAGAGTTTGTGTGCAGAGTTTGTGTACAGTATAGTTTGTGTATATAGTTTGTGTATAGAGTATATAGTTTGTGTATATAGTTTGTGTATAGAGTATATAGTTTGTATATAGTTTGTGTATGTAGTATATAGTTTGTGTATAGAGTATATAGTTTGTGTATATAGTTTGTGTAGTTTGTGTATATAGTTTGTGTATATAGTTTGTGTATAGAGTAGTCTACGGTGTTCTCGCCCCCTGACGTGCGCGGCGCGCGTCTCTGTAAAGTGAAATCGTTCTGCGGCCTCTGTGCTCAGCTTCTACGGTGGCAGGTCTCAATAGTCATCGTCGTCGTGTGGTTATTGGTAGTTAGTAAGTGGTAGTTAGTGGTGGTCGAGCGTGGTTAGTGGTAGTTAGTTAGTGGTAGTTAGTTAGTGGTGTGGTCGAGCGTCCGCGTGCCGCCGCAGCCGCGGTCTGCGCGTGGGCCCCGCGGCCCGAAAATGGCGCACGCGGCCCGGCCGCGTCTCCTCCTCACTCCTCCAGCCCCACAGCGTGGGGCCACGAGAAACGAGGGCGGCGAACAACGACTCTGCCTCGCCGTTTACTAACAACCACCATCACCCAACAACAACGACGACGCAGCAGCAAAACACGGCGCTCACATACGACGACAATTCAATGAAACGACGGCGGGGTTCACCCGCCCAGCCGCAACCGCCGCCGGCCATGCACGAGCCGCGGCGTTCTCGCCCGGATCGCCATCCGCCCCGACAACCCAGACGACATCGTCTTTTAAAACACACAAAGACACACACGACGACGACAACAAAACACCCCCTTCCACAGATAATAAACTCGCGTG